GAAGCACCAAAGAGAGAGAGAGAGAGAGAGAACAAACACATGGCTTGAAAGGGAAGCAGTGAACACGCGCAAACGCGAAAAACTAAAAGAAATGTGTTACACGACAAAATGTGGGCGACAGCGAAGTTCATTCGGGCACTCCTTTGGAGTTCTTACCTGGGACCAGGCCCAGCTCCTTCAGCATCTTCACCTAGATGAGATGTCAGCTCCCTTCATGTCAGCGAAGTATAGCGAAGTCGTTCTCTAAGGCCGGGGCCCACTTGCCAGAATGCATCAGCTCCGTGTTCAGCCGCTCCTGATCTGAATGTGAGGGAATTGAGGGATCTTTGACTGGACCTTTGACCTCTCTTGCCTTAGGTAGCGGCCCCAAAGCTACAGTGCCGAGCGAACTCCCCTCGCAGCACTTCGTCATACCTGCAGTGTGGGGATGCGGACGCGGCAAAGAACCGGCCATGCAATCTGTGAGGGCACTCTTCCGGCACCAGGACATCGCATGGAGAAGCAAGTACCTGCTTCTCGAAGTCCTGCTTGTCGGTGTTGCGCTTCAAGTGCCTCGGCTCGGATTCCGCCTTCACCCCTGCCCCAGGTACCCCAGGTACCCCAGGTCCCCGCTTCATCAGGCCATCAAAACGCTTGATCACCGTCGGCTCCAGCACCTGTCTCCACGGGCTGATATTGGCCGATACAACCGGCGCAACCGGCGCAACCTGGCTGTGCGCCGCCAGCTCTTCGGCGGCTGTGGGCACGTGACGCCTTTGCTCAATGAGAATATGATGGCTTCTGGCTGTCACAGGCCCCGACGACGCGAAGCGTCTTGGGGAGGAGCATCTGCCGTGCCCTCACAAGGCGGCTGCTCACCTGCCAACCTGTGCCAGCCTAACCGGCCAATTCGCCCCGTCCTTTGGACTTTGGAGTTGGCGACAACGACGCAGAGCGACAGCTGCGGCGGGACCTGCGCGGGGCCACTTGGAGCCAAGCCCGTCACGGGAGTCTGGGAGTCTGGGGCGCCGACATCAAGGTCTCGGTGAAAAGGCCGCTGGAAGCCAAGGACCTGAGAGTGTGAAAAACAACCAACGGCTCGCGCGAGCTCGCGCGAGCTCGCGCAGCTCGCGCAGCTCGCGCAGCTCGCGCAGTCACGGTGACTGACAGCCCCCAGCACACACGACAGCGTCGTCCGCAGGGTGCCATTCCTAGAGCCAACCCACACGGCACGAACGACGCGACGGCTCGTCCATGCAGTGCGCCTGCCCACTACACGCTCTGAGGAGGCACGGATCATCCTGCAGCGCAGCGTGCGCAAGTTGGGAATCCGTTTCACCCCCGTCCTGGCAAGGGCCCAGGGCCGCCACCTCGGCACAGAAAAAAGCAACGGAGACGAGAAGTCCGAAAAGAACAAATAAATTGAAATGCTGAGCAAAGCACCGCAAAGACTCTGTCGTCGCGCAGAGAGCCAAACAGCAGCAAAACAGGAGTCCGCGAGTAAATATGTTGGTGTTATCTGCAACACCGCGAGCACACATGTTGGGCACCCCCACGCAAATACAACTGGGCCTGCAGAAGCAAACAATTTTGAGAAACAAAAGGGTCCAAACACACAGATTGCAATCTAGGCTAAATTATAAAAATAACATACATGAACACATGTCTGCTCCCGATCAACCACCCAAATTTAGGCCTATATATATATATATACATATATATATATATATCTAAATGCGATGTTTTCATGCAAAGTGCATCATTGCAAATAATCGCGCAACTCCTCATCACCAATAATATTCAGGCTGAGTTATCAGCATTCATGCAATGCAATAACCTATTCAAAACCAAATTGTATGCATTTATGCAACTGCAAGAGTTGCCTGCAATTCAGACGAAAACAAAAACATCTGCACGCTGAGTTGCAACTATGCAAAGCATTGTCCGAAGCTTGCGAAGCGGGCTGGGAGTATAAGAGAAGCAACACGTCAAGATGTTATTCACGTCTTGATTGTCACACAATGATGTTTGAAAGTTGAATTGTGCGCATGATCCAATGTTTTTTTAGCACATATTCTTTCAGAAGATAATCACAAATGCACGGCATGATCTTCTGAAGTGAACTAGGTTCCGGCGCTGTTAATGACCTCCCACTCTGCGGGCACGGTCCTAGTGCCATGTCAAAAAATCCCACGAGGGAACTCGTTTTGCTTTGAGTGGGTGGGGCGCGTCATGCGCAAAAGTGGCAAAAGCGACAGGGCTAGGAGCTTCTTTCGCAGTTTGGAAAACTTAGGCGCACGCCTGAATACATTTCACTCAGCACATGCAAAAGGAGATTTGCAAAGATGTTGATGCAAAGCTGCGCAAACAAAGACAACAGCCCAACGCTCAGCATAGCAGTTTTTGACAGTATTTGCGCCGGCATGCCCGGCAGCGCTTGGCGCCAAAATGCGCGAAAATGAGCCTTGCTTATATCCTTTCGGTACTTTCCAAAAACAATGCTTCATGGGTTGAATGGGTTGAGAGGTTTTTTGGAAGGAAATCTCGATGATCTCAGATTCAAAGAATATTGCCGTTGAGCAAATTTATCACTCGGATCTTGGGCCTGGAATATGCGGAGTTTATGCAGTAGCAGCACATTGGATTACGGTACAGTTACCGTAGCCCTTAAACTATTGTGTTCCAGGACGGACAAATGCAACCTTTGACGGGCTCAAAATTGAAATCTCCTGATATGTATTTCCGGCGAGCCGGAGCGAACAGACATGTTAAGGCATGTTGCACTGCTCCTAGCTTGAACCCAAACAAGACCACCCAAAAGAACCATGCAAGTCCGAAGCGGCCGCAGTTCTTTTTACCGGGATTGCTGAAAGTAGCACTGCTTCCAGGGCACGGATGCGCCTGGAGCAGGAGGTGCGTTGACCCCCCGTGAAACTTAAAGGCAAGACAATGCGTGTCCTTGCAAATGCGTGCAGTGCGTGCATGGCGTGGCAGGCGTGCCCACGCCGGTCCGGAGGGTCCGGAGACTGTGAGCGGTCCGGAGACCGAGAGGTCCGGAGACCATGAACGGAAGCGCAGAGCGTCTGCAACTTCTCATTGCAGGGCCTTGTATAAGGCAGTGCAGGGTGGGTGGGTGGGTTTCAAATGAAACAGCAAGTTTCGGTCAAGGCTAGGAGCAAAACGGCCACCGCGTAAGTAGATTCACAACATGCCCTAAACACAAGGGAAAAGAAAACCCTAAGCGTTAAGGCATGTTGCACTGCTCCACGATTCGCGGCACCAATTTGCGCTCATGCATCCAATGCAGCCAGGGCCTGGCCACTGCTTGCAGTGGGAGCCTGCAAGGCGCTAATGCGATGGTCCTGGGAATTTCGGAGTGCAGTGGCAGTGCTTGGCAGGAGCGCTTGTTTTTGCTGTGTTTTCTCAGTTCTTATTCCATTATCCAGTTCTTATTCAGTTCTTATTCCAGTTCTTATTCCAGTTCTTATTCACGATTTTGCTGGCAGGGCCACGAGAACCAAGCTTTCTGTGAGTCGCAAAAAAAGAGAATGTTTTTGATTTTTAAAATCGAGTCACAGAAAGCTTGTTTCTTGTGGCCCTGCCAGCAAAACCGTGAATAAGAACTGGAATAAGAACTGGAATAAGAACTGAATAAGTACTGGATAATGGAATAAGAACTGAGAAAACACAGCGAAAGCAGCCACTCCTCCCCTTCGAGAGAGCCGATCTCTCCTGGGACACACTGCGCTGCGCAAGACGCCCCACAAGCGGCCCTGAATCTTGAGCCGCGCAGGGGCTTGAAAATCGCAGCCATGTAGGCGGGGCCTCCTCAGTACGTCAACGATGATGGCAAGGAGGTTAAGATCGATAAGGCCGGAAGACCGTATCCTGTCGGGAAGGATGGATTCAGGTTAATGAAGACGTCGAGACCTCCAGAGTACACTCCTGAAGAATGGAAAATGATGAGTAAATACTACACCAAAGAAGAGAAGGTGGCAAAAGGAAGGAAGAAGATCCCAAGAATCTGAGATTTCTGCGCCAGCAGAGGCACGGACATTACAGATGCCCGGTGGTAAGAGAATCGAGCAATGCTTCGAAACCGCTGGGGTGGAGTAGAATGGCAGTACAATTGGGGGTTGCGGAAGAACATATCAAAGATCAAGAACCCAATGGATGGGAAGCACTTGGCTGAGCTTGAATGGGTCAGGATTGTCGTAAATCCTGTTGACGGAGTGGTTGTTCTCATGGATTCCAAGCAGTCCCAGACGTCTTGAGACGAAACGTTCAGCTTGAAAAGGAATTTGAGTGTCTGGTAGTCATTTATGCCTGGAAGTTCAGATCTGAGAAGCGATCAAAGTCGACTCCAAACTGGACGAAGGCAGTTGCATCAGTCATGGAGAGTCATAATGACGAAGCTGAGACGATCGGGGACAGATCCAACGGTCGACGATCTTACCTGGTATGAATGAGTCTGCTGAGGTAGTTTCTGGAAAAGTGCCACTCGCGATGCCTGCGATAGGCGAAGACGGTAAGCCAAGAAGTACCCATCGATGCCGTGCGTGACTTCTGAGCGAATACAGCACAGAGAGAAAGCTGTGAAAGTTGTACGATTCTTCGACGCTTTAGTATCCAGGCCGGTCGGCCGGAAAGAGATGCTGACCAACCCTCATGCGTTGGCATCGATGAAGAAAGAATGGTCGGGATTAACCAGGGCGTCTTCGATCTTGGCGCGGTGCGTGAATATGACGCTGTAGCCAAGGAGGCAAAAGCGAAAGGGGAAGAGATACACATGGCTCGTGCACATTTGCGTTGAGAAGCACTCACAGTTGCCCGTTGGTGATCCTAAGAGGAAGTTCAAGGGTAGAGGCGTGCTGCTGGGGAACCAAGTGAAGAACCAAAGCTTTGAGGCTGCGATGTTTCAAGATTTGGGGAACTCTCCTGCTTCATTCGAAGCCTCGCGTTGGGCGGATTTTTTGGGTTGTCATGATGGCTGGGATGTGCAGATGCCGACGCTGTTCAAGCGTACATCAGGCCACCTTGAGAGGCACGCCGTGTTGGATTGAACTGCCACCGGAGGCTGTGCCAAGTGAATGCAAATGGGATAAGTTCAGAAGACCAGTCGTCCCGTTGAGGAAGGCGCTGTACGGACACCCAGACATTCTGGGAGCAGCACTGCGATGAATCGGTGCGTGCGTTGGTTTTGAACCCATCGGCGAAGAATGGCCTTCGGTGTACATTCATGAAAAGCTCCAGCTTGTTCTGGTTGTGTGTGTCGACGACTTCAAAATGGCAGGGCCACAGAAGAACCTTGCCCAAGGGTGGAGCATGTTGCGTACACGTTTGAAGATCGAGCCCGAGACTGGACTTGACAGTACCTTGGTTGTAATCAAAGCAAGGGAAACGTCACTCTCGGAACGGCACCGAGTAACAACGGTGACCTATGACATGGAACAGTTCCTACGTTCCTGTGTCGACCGCCATCTTGAGGTGGCGGGCGACGTGAAGTTGAACAAGGTTGTCACTCCTGAGTTGCATGAGGAAACAAAGAATCACGTCTTGCGGAAGCCTGCCAGAGAGGGCCGTCAGTCGTGTGCAATTGGTGTCACAATCTTGTGCCACCGACGGTTCTGCCACAGTGCCGGACCAGCGGGGAGGGACCTCCTGCGTTGGCCATGAAGGAGCCCGTGCGTGGACACCTTACTCCGACTCCGATGATCGGGGTTTGCATCATTTGATGTGCTATGCGCATCATACTAAACATTGGCGCATGTGTCGGTTGGGTTGGAGACCCCATGGATGATGTGCACTTGGCCTTGTATGCGGACGCTGACTTTGCAGGATGCGTTGACTCGCTACGTTTATTTTTGGTGGACACTTGAATATACAAGGACCCAATACCCGGTTTCCGTTGTCTGGCAGCTCCAAAAGACAGGGTTGTGTGAGTCATTCCACTCCCGAGGCCGAAATAGTTGCGGCCGATGTTGCCATGAGATCGATGGGTATGCCTGCTCTAAAGTTGTTAGAGCGGATTCTCAAGAAGTCACCACTTTGTGTTCTATGACGATAACAAGGCTATGATCGGTGTCGCGCGGTCGGGGAGAAACCCCACGATGCGCCACCTTGAGAGAAGCCATGGTGTTAGCATTTCGTGGATGCATGAGATGTTCACACGTGATTACATGTATTTGGCGTATGAGGTCACCGACAGGATGGCGGCTGACATATACACCAAGGCGTTCAATGATGGGCGCAAATGGAAACATGCATGTTTGCAGAACTTGACCCGAGCTTGCTGTCTGACCCGGATACCCTCAAGGCGCTCACACCTACGTGTGATCCCATGAAA